AAAATAACATTGGATGTTTTATTTGACATTTTATTACTTTAACTTCTGTAGTATTTCTTACCTGAATAAAAACTTACTTAACCTGAAAAACTTAGTTTCATAGCTCTCTTTATTCTGTTGCATTTATTTGTGCTGTTGTTTGCCATTTTTTTTATTTGTTCTTATTTTATTACTAACTTTTTCTTGTGTTTTTTCATGCAAAGAAAACTTTGCGTTGAAGAAAAGTAGATTTTTGTTTGTATATGCTGTCAATTATAGTTCTTAGAAAGAAAATCGGAATCGGCAAAAATCGGTATCGGCAGATCACACTTAAATGAGAAATCGGAATCGGTCAAGAAAATTGCAATCGGTGCATCTCTTAACAAAAACCCAATTTTATTTCATTGGGTCTTTAATGTCTGTGGACCGTGTGTTGATGTCACTATTTTCATTTTTTGTGGTAGAAATTTATTTTATATTCGCATTTGTTTTGTAAAGGTGAGATGGATGGTGGTTTTCTTAATTAGTTTAATGTCTTATTAAAACTAATGAGAAAAAGTTTTTTTTTTGTTTACTAGTGCAAATTTTGAAATGAAACAGTCTTCTTTTGTAGATCACTATGGCTTGCAGAATAAATGCAAGCGTGCCAAAATTTGAGACATTCCGTTCGACATCAAAATATAAGACATGCAATTTGGTTTTGGATCTTTACTTTGGTCCTGTCTTCTGCCTTCATTTTGCAACAATAAAATATTAACTGGCTCTGAGAGCCCATTGCTCTCCTCCAGACATATAACTGTGCATTTGTCTGGGTCTGGAATGAACGCTCCGTGCGTAGGAGAAAATTGGCTTTAGTCTGTTTTGCCGTTCCAGTCACCCGATAGATAGAAATAATGTTCAGAAATATCAAATAGAGGGCACACTTGACCACAGACTGTTATCTGTGTTAAGGTGGACTGTAATGCATTTAGTCCAGCCCTCAAGCAGATCTGCCTTATCTCAATAAGCTGCTCTCTGTAACAAATCCCTACCTGTGCACACCTGAGGCCAGCTCAGCTGAAGACAGAAACGAACCAATGTCAAACACCAGCTTACATCATACCATGCGCATGTCCTCTCTATCAGTAAGGGCAAGTGGATTCACTACCAATCAGAAGTTAGACAAAGTTGGCCGTGTCTAATTGATTTTTGTGTCAGGCCATCACATGATGTGCACACATTGTTTGCCGTCTAGCCAGCTGTGATATATCAGAAAAGTAGTAAGCTTGGTAAAAGGCATTATTCTGTTCTTCCTACTCTTAACTTTTTTAGCTTTGCCCCAATAAATGCACAAACAAGCCAGTGTGTAAGTTTGGACTGTACAAACAATGTCCTCTTCTTGTTTTTGCTCTCATTTCACTCTTTGCGATTTTGCTGCCTTGGTGGATGCTGCTGTGCTATGTCATTAGTGGTTCACAGCAACAACAATTGTGATTAATGGCAGTAGTTTATCTGAAGACACTAGAGTTGATTTACAATCACATTTAGACATCAAATTTTGCTGTGTTTGGTCTGTAGTGGATCGCTTTTTTCCCTTATTCTAGTAACCCATAAAACTGAAGTGGATGTCTCTCAGAGTCAGAAAGAAGTTTGCTGATGTGCGAGTATATATGTGTGGGTGAGTTTGTGTGTGTATCGAGATGCAGGTATCCTCACTGTCTTTTTCAAGGACTATTTTGGTGACTTATTTGCTGTAGTTGACAGTTTTGTGTAGGAAGGAGCCAGCTGACAGATGGTCTGAGCTGCAACCCCATCTATGACATCATCTGACCCTAGGTTTCAGTGATTACCCTCTTTTGCCCTCTAAAAGTGTGTTGTATGTTTATGCAGATTTATGCAGTGGTTTATTTAGTACAGTAGCTGAGACTTTTCAAAAGATTCTTCAGTTCAGTGTTTCCCCTGCCATTATATTAGAAAGGCGGCCCGCCCCCCCAACGGCACCCCCCACCCCCCTTGAAGGTCAAGTTAATTTTATTTAATTATATTTTCTCTATAGCGCCAGATCACAACAGAAGTCATTTAAAGTTACCTTTCCGATAGAGCAGGTCTATACCTTGTTCTTTTATTAAACAAACTAAATGGCCTTATGTTATTTATCTTATTTCTGTCTCTACGTTATGGTTGCACTCTCTGTATAACGCCCCGATGCGCGCACGCACACGCTCTCTCTCACACACACACACACACACACACACACACACACGTGCGCGCACACACAAGTGAGCACACTCCCACTAGTATTTGTAAATATTAAGCAGCAAAACGATTATTTAAATATTAATTATTTGTGTCTCTGTGTTAATGAATGGCGCAGACATGTGGTTTTGTTTACCACTTACTACTGAAATGTGCATGACGCTTCAGTGATTTTAGCATCTTCCATCTCACTAAATGAGGACATAAATACATGAACAACATCTCCCGAACTGCTCTGAGAGTCACTTCATGAGCATTTGACCCTTTCATTTGAGTAAAACTATCCTCATATCATATACACACAGAAATGTAAAGGTATTCACGGCAACCCGTCAAAATAAAAGTTAGGTTTAACTTGAAGGCATTGCGGCAGAAATATATTACTATTGTTCAGTAGAATGTACATAATAGGCTGCTGCTGCTACTACTACTAAAATTATTAAAACCTTATTTTTAAGGAATAATCATACAATATTTCTTCAGTGTTTTAATTGTAATATTTTCCAACAAATAAAATGTCTTTAATTTTCATTACATAAAAGATAGATTAAATTAATATTATATGCCTTAAAAATATAAATACACAACACAAAATTTCTGAGCAAAAATTCATAAGGCTATTGTAAGAATAAACGAAACTTGTTTGTATGCTTTCAAATAATTAGACATGCTAAATCAGAATTTGGTAACAATAAAACATAAGGTTGGAAAAAATTAAAAATTTCATAGGGCCCTAAACATGTAATTTTTGTTAAACTTTTAATAAATTGATGTTAAATTTGTTAAAGTTTCATGATTTTAATTAATTAGACATGCTTTTTGATTCATAAAATGTATTAAAAAAATTGTCAAAAGCCGTAAACCTAGGGGAAACACTGGAGTTCAATGCCTTCAACCAAAACAACCAGCTCTGAAATGATTCGCATTGCAAAATTCATTCTAAAGCAAGAAAGTGTTTAAAAATGGGAAATAAAGATAAGTACTAGACCGTATGAAGCATTGTGAATGATACTATCAAATAAGAAACAACTGAACGCTATTCACATTGAAATTATTGTCTAAATTAGTTTAGACATACTGCACCTTTCAAAGGTTTGGGGCCAGTAAGATTTGAACATTTTTGAACAAAGTCTCTTATGCTCATTAACGCAGCATTTATTGGATTAAAAAATACAGTAAACGCAGTGATATTGTTAAATATTACAAATATTACTACATTATTATTATTATTACAAATATTATGTCATTTATTCTTTTGATGGAAAAGCTGCTATTGCAGTCTTCAGGAGTTATTCCAGTCTTCAGTGTAAAATGATCCTTCAGAAAACATTCGATTAGGCTGATTTGGTATTTGCTATTATCAACGTTGAAAACAGTTGTGGAAACATTTGTGGAAACCATGCTACATTTTTTTCATGATTCTTTAAGAATAGAAAGTTCAAAAGAACAGCAATTATTTTTTTTTACTTTGGTGTAACACTTGATCAAATTGAAATATCCTTGCTGAATTAAAGTATTATTTATTTATTTATTTAAATTTAAGGAAACTAACTCAAACGGCAGTTCTCGTTTCCATGGTGACAGCGACACGAAGTGTAGTGTTTCACCGCGAACTTGGCAATTAAACAATTTTCGAAGCATGAAGTTAAATTAAAACTATTTATAGCTTCCACAGAAGCATATACCACCATTTAATAATCACTGAGCTCATGCTAGCTCTATCTTAAAAGGTTTATACAGTATATTAGTGCAAAATAATTTTCTGTGGATAGAATGAATGAAATTCACTAGATCAGAAAAAACAAGATCAGGTCATAGAATCTGTGTGTTTTGACAACTGAAAACGTGAAATGTAACGAAATGAAATGACAGTGCATGAGTGAATTTCATTTAAACATACAGTACATTTGTGTTGCAGTTGCTTAATAAAGTCAGCAGCCAGCTGCAAACAGTATTGTTTAATAAGGGTTCAATTGGTCCCAGCTTATAAGTCTGAAATAAATAATTTATTAATTATAAACTTATCACTAAACATACATTAAAACATCCTTTTTGTGTCTGCAATGACATCACATGCCATCTATGGCAAACACACATGCACCAGCACCATGAGGACTGTTGATCTTAAGATTCATGAGCTTCAGTCCTGCTCATCCCTTTAAACACATCATGTTTCCTCACCCTGATTTAGCTGTGCTGTCACGTGCTGTGTCACGTGCTTTATTTACTAAGTTACTAAGATGCCAGACTAGAAAACTAGGAGTCAGAGGTCCATGTTCTGTAAATGTGATCATTTAAATGACTTATGAGAAGCTGACCTTGTTTTCTGTTAATATACTGTATTTTTGTCTGTTGTTCTGTTTCCTACAAATACAATTTAGATGTAGTATGTAATGTACAGTCCAAGGGATTTTACATTTGCTCCTCATTTGTTTTATTTCTTAAATGCTTTTTTTCCAAATTGACTAGTTCATCCAAATTAATCCTGTGGTGTGACAAATGTTACAAATTAAATAAAGAATGTGATTAAGTAATCCGAGGACATAAAATCTTAATGCATAATTTTGAAATAATTATCAAATGCTGTTTGAGAGAGTTTAAGATTATACATCACTCCACAGGACAAATGGATTTCATGTCAACTACTCATAAATTGATTTTACAGTGCAGTATTTATTTTATATATATTCTTTTGTTAATGAGTATTTTGTGTTAAGTACAAGTTAGATGATTAATAATTTTCACTAAAAATGTGCTCTTCTCTGTTTGTGCCTCTCTCTCTTCAGGTGTCTCTTTTGTGTTCATGCATGACTCCACTGTTTGCTGATGGAACAGAAGGTCTTCAGTAAGTCCTACATGGTGTCCAGACTGCCAAAATTCGGTGCCCGTCCTGTCAATGGTACCCCCTCATCCCTTCCTAATGGTACAACCCAGACTGTACTCACGCAAGAGGGCAAGAATCCACCAGCTAGGCCAAATGGAGTGGTCAGAGCCTCCTCCTTCTCCATGAAATGGAGAAAGGATAGTGGTGGGCCGGTGGACCCTTCAAACCAAGTTGAGGGCACGATACCAGAAGAGAGGAAAGAAAATAACTCCCAACATTCTCCTGGAAGTAGGGAGTTAAAAAGCCCTTCTACTCCCGCAACCAAAGTACGCAGGTCTGCCTCCACATTGTCCACTGGAAGCCCTAAACCTGCACCCAAAACTCTTAAATCCATCCCGAGTCCTAAACCAAAGCCCAAATACTCTCAAATTATGACAGCCTCCAAAAGTCAGGACATATCCCAAAAAAGCTCAGGCTCCAAGCTAACTCAAAATGGGACTTCATCTCTGGGGTCTTCACTGGGCCAAGCAAGCTCTTCGGGGCTTCAGCGACCAAGGGCGAACTCTAACTCTACTCGAAGCACCTCTAGAGACCGTTTGTCCCAGTCCAACGACAGCCTCTCACAACAGTCGCTCGTGCCTGACTACATGGTGCGTTCTCAGAGCTTCACTCACTTCAAGCAACTGCCCTCGCCAACGTCCGCCGCACCCATGACGCGCTCCTTCTCTTTCAACAAGGCTGTGGAGCTAGCCAAACCGCTAACTAATACACAGTTTCGTCCTCCACGAACACTTGGACTCAAATCTCCTTTGAGCCTGAGCAAAGGCCGGTTAGTGCTCGGTTTAGGGGGCCTGGGATTTGAAAAGGGTATAACAGATAGACTACCTTCTGAGAATCCTTCTTCAGAGAGTTTAACACCTCCTAATTCCATAAAAAGGCCTCTTCTGCTTAACTCTGTGCTGACAAAAACCTCATTACAGGCCTACAGGCTAAATCGACCAATTCCTGCCAAACCGCAGTGCCCTCTAGTGGTTGGGAGGATCCCAGTGGAGTGTGACATTATAACCCCGCCTCTCACTCCTGAGTTGCTCCATTGTGCCACAAAGAACGTAAGTGTCTGACTATAATTTACAGTACCATGCATATTTTAATATTTTAAATTGCAGTCTGATATTTTGTGCAAAAGTTCAACAAATAGTTCCCTAATGATTTTCTTTCTTCTGTGGGACATGAGAGAAGGAGCGTTGTCAGATTTGTGAATGTCAGATTTGTCTTTTTACCAATATTCACAATTTTCTTATTTATTAATATTATAATTGAATAGGGAGACTTCATAGTGTATGCTTTTTATTGTTGTCTAATGATTTGTTGCTTATTATTGTGTCTCAAATCATTATGCCATATATGAAACATGTTTTATATTCAGTCAGTGTTCTTGTTCTGAATTTAATAATATTTGCATAGCTATTAGTAGCTCTACTGGAGCAAAAGGGTTATTTTGGTGCCACCACAGAGAAGTCAAACTATCGAAACATGACTGCATTGCATTAAATGGTTTCATTTCCATGTTGTATGTGTAAAAAGGCATCAGCTTCCATAGATTCCCCAGAGGAGCCTGTGACAGAGCCAGGGCTGGATGGGAACCTCCGCTACACTGGGGAGGGTATGGAGGACATGTCTCTCTCCTCTGCATCTTCTCTGGAGAGGAATGACACAAGTGAAGAGTTCCTAGATGACTTTGATAATCTAGGGGACCAGTCGGAGAATGGCATCCCTCTTAACAAAAATCCTGTGGCCACTTCCACCCAAATGCGCCTGCAGGGATTCTTAAATGAGACCATGGACTGGACTGGGATTGGTCTGGCAGGTATAGCTATACGTTATTCATCTAATTCTTGCGTTTATGTGACAAACAGTACAGTGTTGATAATATTATCCTATTGTGGCAAGCATGCAGAGTTTATGCTATGTTATACCATGTCTGTTCTCAGGTGGCAAGGCAGATTCAAGTGATCCGCTCCGTGGTCCGCCGCTCATGTCCCCTGACGTGGATCGTCACGCAACCTCCTCTTTGGAGCTCTCCCCCTCTAACAGCTCTGGAGGAACATACATGTGGGATGAGGAGGGCATGGAGCCGCTGGGACACAACACACACATACACCATTGTAGCAGTTATGAGTCAGACCTCAACAGCATTGTGAGTATACACACATCCTCCCAAAATGAGTAAAAAAGTACTGTGATGGAACTGTGGTGTAGTGATATCAAAACCTGGGATTTACATTTATGCATTCAGGATACATTTTTCTACAAGCTCTACCATGTCTGTTCTCAGGTGGCAAGGCAGATTCAAGTGATCCGCTCCGTGGTCCGCCGCTCATGTCCCCTGACGTGGATCGTCACGCAACCTCCTCTTTGGAGCTCTCCCCCTCTAACAGCTCTGGAGGAACATACATGTGGGATGAGGAGGGCATGGAGCCGCTGGGACACAACACACACATACACCATTGTAGCAGTTATGAGTCAGACCTCAACAGCATTGTGAGTATACACACATCCTCCCAAAATGAGTAAAAAAGTACTGTGATGGAACTGTGGTGTAGTGATATCAAAACCTGGGATTTACATTTACATTTATGCATTCAGCATACATTTTTCTACAAGCTCCAATGTACAGTAAGCGTTTAAATACATTTAATAAAATTAAGAATACATTATATAAAGAAATAGTAGTGAATAAAGATAACTAGTCATTTTTTAATAATAATTATAATAATAATAATAATAATATAATAATAATTATAATTATTATAATAATAATTTTTTAAATAATTTTTGTTGTTGCAGATAATAAGTTATTTTGTTTTTGCTTATAATAATAATAATAATAATAAAATAAGAATTATTGTTTGATATGATTGTTCTTGCTAATTTATTTATTTTTTATTATTTAAACAATATTTTAATACCATGTAAATAGTAATGCCATGTTTTTGGCTGTTAATAATAATAATAATAATAGTAATAATAACTTTACCTCTGTTACCAGCCCGATTTTAACCACATCTAAACTATTCTCACATTATAAAACTGTAATACAACAGTGTGACTGAATGTGGCTCTGCAAGTCTTGTAGAAGGCTGTTCTGTTCCATACTCTGTGGGTGTTTGTAATCTTTCCTCTGCTGTGCATTTCGATAACCCATCGCTTCTTTACTACTTGTTGTTGGTTAGTATGTGCACTTGTGTGTGTGACCGGATCTCTCCATCCCTATCCTGCTAATTATTTTTTTGCTAATTTGGGATTAGTCTCTGTGTCTCTTACTCGTGACTCTGCAGGAGTCTGACTCCGGGTCCCGCCGTTCTGAACAGAGGTCCTGTTCTATCTCTGCTGTTTCCAAAGCCCTTGATTGGGTGGGAATGCGGAACGGTGCCACTAAACATTCCAGCTTTTGATCCCAATGTAGCTAATATTTTTTTTGTTCTTATTCATGATGTCAGATTGGCTCAGTGGAGTGCAGAAAGAGGCTGGATTTGAAACAGTAATCAGATTTGAAATACCTGTTCTATCTCTGCTGTTTCCAAAGCCCTTGATTGGGTGGGAATGCGGAACGGTGCCACTAAACATTCCAGCTTTTGATCCCAATGTAGCTAATATTTTTTTTGTTCTTATTCATGATGTCAGATTGGCTCAGTGGAGTGCAGAAAGAGGCTGGATTTGAAACAGTAATCAGAGTAATACAGACTCCTGTAGCAGATACACAAATGCACTGACACGCTGACTTGACTCTGACTTCAGACATTATGTAATCGCAGCATATATACATTTCAGAGCAGCTGAGTCATTGTTATCATACTTGAGGATTGTTCCTCTGATGTAGTTGTATAGCGTGGAGGAGGAGTTCAGTTTACATAATGGACTGTGTTTCAGTTTGAGCTGGGCTTTAAGGGACATCTTGTGGTCTACTGTAGGTACTGCAAACATTTATTTTGCACGCGTTTCTTGTTTGTAATGCTTCTTAACACCAAACATGAAGTATTAAAGTTTGTTGCATAACTTTTTCTAGATCTTTATGAAGTGACTCTGCTAAATACACTGTTACGTGGAAATCAGTGGGAGTCACATGCATGGTAATTGAATGATTAATTTGATCTCCTGACAGCAGTGGATCTGCTTTAGATCCTTGCTCTGTGTCTATCTTTAGTTTAAGACTCCTCTGCTCTTACCGATACTGAAACAGAGGCTGGGGCCGGGCTTTATTTAGAGCTCATCTGCTCTTACCCTCAGCAGGTGATGTAATGGCAAACTTTATTTGCAGGTTGCAATGTATAAGCAGGAGGTCAAACTTAAATTTAGGTCTAAATACAGTTTAATGCTGTTTTGTGGAATTTAGTTATTTAATTTTTTCTATACCATATAAACTTTAAAAATGAATGAGACTCAATGTATTTTAAAATAATAAATGTTCTATTCCTAAATACGCTAAATTAAAAAACAAAACAAAACATATCAAACATATATAAACATATCAAATTGAATAACAAGGTTGCATTTTGCCTAAATTAAACTCTCACATTATAGGCTAGTTAGTGTTGTACCAAATGTTAGTTGGAAATATTGACATTAACTTATTGTTAAAATGTTCTCTTAATTAATTAATCAATAAAAATATCCAGTCTTTCTCTAAAAAGTTTTTCAAGGATTTTGGAGAACTGGGGGAGTATAGAAACAGCTCTATAATTTGTGAAATGGTGTTCATCCCCAGTTTTATATAATGGAATTACTTTTGAAATTTTCATTTTATTTGGAAATTTACCAGACTGAAAGGACAAGTTAAAGATAGTTAATGGAAGTTAATGGCTATACAATTTATTCAATAACTTATTTATTATAATCATATCAATGTTATTCCAATCCATGGAGGATTTGCTTTTACTCTTTCTTACAATGTCCATTATCTCCTCACTATCCACTGTTCTAAGAAAAATAGAGCTAGGATTTCTATTCTAAAAATAGAAACCCTTTCTGTTGTTTCTGGCTCATTTATCATTTTTATCAAGTCTAGACCCACATTTACATAGAATTTGTTACATTTACATTACATTTAGTCATTTAGCAGACACTTTTATCCAAAGTGACTTACAAATGAGGACAATAGAAGCAATCAAAATCTTCCATACTCTGTGGGGGTTTGTAATCTTTCCTCTGCGGTGCATTTAGATAACCCATCGCTTATTTACTACTTGTTGTTGGTTAGTATGTGCACTTGTGTGTGTGACCGGATCTCTCCATCCCTATCCTGCTAATTATTTTTTTGCTAATTTGGGATTAGTCTCTGTGTCTCTTACTCGTGACTCTGCAGGAGTCTGACTCCGGGTCCCGCCGTTCTGAACAGAGGTCCTGTTCTATCTCTGCTGTTTCCAAAGCCCTTGATTGGGTGGGAATGCGGAACGGTGCCACTAAACATTCCAGCTTTTGATCCCAATGTAGCTAATATTTTTTTTGTTCTTATTCATGATGTCAGATTGGCTCAGTGGAGTGCAGAAAGAGGCTGGATTTGATTGAAACAGTAATCAGAGTAATACAGACTCCTGTAGCAGATACACAAATGCACTGACACGCTGACTTGACTCTGACTTCAGACATTATGTAATCGCAGCATATATACATTTCAGAGCAGCTGAGTCATTGTTATCATACTTGAGGATTGTTCCTCTGATGTAGTTGTATAGCGTGGAGGAGGAGTTCAGTTTACATAATGGACTGTGTTTCAGTTTGAGCTGGGCTTTAAGTGACATCTTGTGGTCTACTGTAGGTACTGCAAACATTTATTTTGCACGCGTTTCTTGTTTGTAATGCTTCTTAACACCAAACATGAAGTGTTAAAGTTTGTTGCATAACTTTTCCTAGATCTTTATGAAGTGACTTTGCTAAACCTGTGTTACACTGTTACGTGGAAATCAGTGGGAGTCACATGCATGGTAATTGAATGATTAATTTGATCTCCTGACAGCAGTGGATCTGCTTTAGATCCTTGCTCTGTGTCTATCTTTAGTTTAAGACTCCTCTGCTCTTACCGATACTGAAACAGAGGCTGGGGCCGGGCTTTATTTAGAGCTCATCTGCTCTTACCCTCAGCAGGTGATGTAATGGCAAACTTTATTTGCAGGTTGCAATGTATAAGCAGGAGGTCAAACTTAAATTTAGGTCTAAATACAGTTTAATGCTGTTTTGTGGAATTTAGTTATTTAATTTTTTCTATACCATATAAACTTTAAAAATGAATGAGACTCAATGTATTTTAAAATAATAAATGTTCTATTCCTAAATACGCTAAATTAAAAAACAAAACAAAACATATCAAACATATATAAACATATCAAATTGAATAACAAGGTTGCATTTTGCCTAAATTAAACTCTCACATTATAGGCTAGTTAGTGTTGTACCAAATGTTAGTTGGAAATATTGACATTAACTTATTGTTAAAATGTTCTCTTAATTAATTAATCAATAAAAATATCCAGTCTTTCTCTAAAAAGTTTTTCAAGGATTTTGGAGAACTGGGGGAGTATAGAAACAGCTCTATAATTTGTGAAATGGTGTTCATCCCCAGTTTTATATAATGGAATTACTTTTGAAATTTTCATTTTATTTGGAAATTTACCAGACTGAAAGGACAAGTTAAAGATAGTTAATGGAAGTTAATGGCTATACAATTTATTCAATAACTTATTTATTATAATCATATCAATGTTATTCCAATCCATGGAGGATTTGCTTTTACTCTTTCTTACAATGTCCATTATCTCCTCACTATCCACTGTTCTAAGAAAAATAGAGCTAGGATTTCTATTCTAAAAATAGAAACCCTTTCTGTTGTTTCTGGCTCATTTATCATTTTTATCAAGTCTAGACCCACATTTACATAGAATTTGTTACATTTACATTACATTTAGTCATTTAGCAGACACTTTTATCCAAAGTGACTTACAAATGAGGACAATAGAAGCAATCAAAATCAACAAAAGAGCAAATATATGCAAGTGCTATAACAAGTCTCGGTTAGCTTAACGCCGTATACATAGCAAGGGCTTTTTGTTTTTGTTTTTTAAATTATATAGTAAATAAAAAGAAAACAGAATAAAAAAAGAATAGAGTAAGCTAGTGTTAGAGGCCTTTTTTTGCTTTTGTTAA